TATATATATATATACACTGTATATTTGTTTGTAGCACTTGTACATGCATTTTCAAGTGTGTAGAACCCTGTATGTTTAATTAGGCCTATACTTGGCTTTAAAAATAAATAAATAAAGCCACTTAGCCAATGTAACTTTTAAACTTTATATATGTGTGTGTGTGTGTGTGTGTGTGTGTGTGTGTGTGTGTAAATAAGAACCTGAGCAGTGCTGTCAAACTGATTAATCGTAATTAATCGCATCTGAAATAATAGTTTGTTTACATAATATATGTGTGTGTACTATGTATATTTATATACAAATATAATAAATACACACACATGCATGTATATATTTAAGAAATATATCATGTTTATTTATATTTATTATTATTTATTTATATTTACACACATATATAAATTGTGTAAACACAAACTTTTATTTTGGATGCGATAAATCCCGATTAATCGATTTGACAGCGCTAGTTTACAGACACTTGCTTTCATAATTTGTATTTAATGACATTAAACATTTGAAAGCATTTAAAAACTTTTCAAGGCCACTGTTTTCTATATTGTAACTACTGCATTCACTACATAAACAATAATAGGTAGAACTACTTTCATGATTCAAAGATTTTAAACTGCAAATAAAATTAAGACTACAATCAATAATTCATCACAGTGTGTTTTTGGTATAATTGTAATTATGCCTCATGTTCTGTGAAGATTGATTGTATGTGTAAAAATAAAAATAGTCATTTTGAAATTAGCCTGTCAATTTGCCTTCAAATTATTTTTATATGTTACTCCGTTTAGTATTAATTTGACCCTTGCAAAAACACACTGTAAAAAAAAAGAATAAATAAATACATTTGATAATTGAGGAACTATATAAAATTTGGATTATAAAAATTCTGATTTATTTTACCGGTTTAGGGTAAATTAATATTGTTTTCCCTTCAAATTATTGTAATATGTTACTCTCTTTGGGATTGACAATGGAACAAATCACATAACAATAATAATGAATAAATAAGATGAGATTTACATCATTTTATGTCAGTATCTGCTCTACTGTAATAAAGATCTCATTGATTACTTTAAAACCTATCAGACACATTTCATCGTTTTTTCCGTATAAATATCAGCATCTGCACCAAATTTCATATTTGGGCCTCTGAATGAAGTTGAGCTGTTTTTCTCTCCATATTCTCACTATATCGTACTATAAACACCTAATGCACCAAATATACTCAACAGAAAACACACAAGCAAACTTTTTTTGTTTTTGATTATATTTTGACTAAAGGTTTAAAGGGGTCATATGATGCTTTTTTAAAGATCATTATATTGTGTATTTGGTGTAACAGAATATGTTGACATGCTTTAATGTTCAAAAAACACATTATTTTTCAAATACTGTACATTATTGTAGGTCCTCTATGCCCCGCCTCTCTCAAACGCTTCGTTTTCTACAAAGTCCCTCCTTCCGACAAGCGCAGTCTGCTCTGATTGGCCAGCTGACCCAGTGCATTGTGATTGGCCGAACACCGCAAGCACTCGTCGGAAATGTAACGCCCCTTACCATAATCACGAGCTTCATCTTGAGTCTTAACTTTGATAAAGAATATCTCTTTGGTTTTGAGACTTTAGTCTTTGCAACTTCAGGGATCTTATCTATGCACAATCAGCTTGTAACACTCCAAAGAGAAAGGAAAACTTGAAATCGCATCATATGACCCCTTTAAGAAACTATCCTATTTTTTCTGACTACTATTTCATATGTCAGGCTTCACAAGATTAAATATCTCATCTAATTTGACTATTTTTTTAAATGGACGATAAATCTGACATCAAAACAGTTAAACTAATATTGTAAACCCGGAAATTATGATATATTTATACAGCACAAATGTTGTCTGATGACATTTCATCCTAATATTCTCGTGTAAACACATTCTGACCTTCATTTCGATCTGTTTATTCTCTGAATTCTGGAACAGGAGCTTCACTCGTGTCTTGCCGTCATCCGATGAACCCTTCAGCTGGGAGAATTTGTATTTCCAGATGGTTTTCTGTGGAAAAGCAGGTGAAAAAATGTAAGCAGAGTAGACAGGCATGCTAAATCTGTGCACTTGAGAAATGAAGTGGTCATTCACTGATAAACCCCATTCACATCTGTGTTTTACGGAGCCCCTAAAGGGACAGTGGTAGGGAAAAAAATATTTTTCAAATCTTTTGCATTCAAACTTTTACGTTCTCTTCCCGTTTACTTTACAGCTTGCAGTGGTTCATACAGTTCCGTACGTTCACAATGGAACGGTTCAAAGAGTTTTATTTTGAACTTGGACTCAAATATAAAGAAATACAGTCAGTGCTTAGTTCAAGGCATGGTTTTGGGACATTTTAAAAAGCTTAATGTGGCTTAATGTGCTAAAACAGTGAAACTTGAGGACCGAATTCAGTACACGACTTCACCAGATGTTAACTGCTGGACTGGAGTGCTGTGGATTACTTGTGGATTATTGTGATGTTTTTATCAGCTGTTTGGACTCTCATTCTGACGGCACCCATACACTGCAGAGTATCTGTTGCTGAGCAAGTGATGCAATGCTACATTTCTCCAAATCTGATGAAGAAACAAACTCATCCTAATCTGGGATGACTTGAGGGTGAGCACATTTTCAGCAAATTTTCATTTTTGGCTGAACTATTCCTTTAAATTAGTCCATAAAGCACGTTAATTTCATGAGGACTGTAATAAAGCACTTTTATTACAGGTAGTTGAGCTGGTTTGGGTTAAACGCACAGACGTGATCAGTGCATCGTAAGAGAAGACTGAAGACTATCACGTTTAACACACTTTTCACTGATGTGAAAATCACAGCCTGCTATTCGAAACAAGAACAATACACGCCAGATTTAGACGGCACAATTAAACTGGTCTGTCAGCCTCGTAATCAGCCAGTGTTAGTCTATTCATGCCGTCCGAACGCTTCTGTGTGAATCACAAATCATGCCATTAACCAGCACCTGCTGAACTCTTCATTTCAAAAATAAAACATGATTAAGCTGTAATTTAGGAACACAAACATCCCAGAATTCGTCCGATTCACAGATAATACACTGTAAATAAATGAAAAAAAATGTAATATTTGCTGATGTCACTTACTGGATGATGATGATGTCATTGAGGAACTGGATTTTGATATTTTTTTTGATACTTTAATTTTTCAGTAAAGATATTTTCAAAACAATGGAACAACCTATTAATTGATCACCAACTAAAACAAAATTCACAAGGAACCATGTTTTGTTTAAACATTTTGATATGATAATATTTGGACAGAATAAAATTAAGAAAAAATAAAAATAAAACAATTTAATTAAATATAAATTAATAAAAAACTAAAATAAACATGGATGGAAAATGACTACCAAATAAAACAATATTCACAAGAAAACATGTTTTGTTTGAAACGTTTTGATTCTGATAACATTCAGATATTTTAATAGAGAATCAAATAAAAACAAAAACAAACAAATGGGAAAACACCTATTAATTGATCACCAATTAAAACAATATTCATAAGACATTTTTTTTTTTTATTTTAAACATTTTGATATTGATAACATGTTGTTGTTTCGATAGAAAATAAATAAAAATGAAAATAAAAATGAATAAATATACACAGAAAATAAATACAAATGAAAATAAAATGTAATAAATACACAGTGCCTTGCGAAAGTATTCATACCCCTTCATTTTTTTTCACGTTTTGTTATGTTGCTGCCTTATGATAAACTTCTTTAAATTACTTTTTTTCCATATCAATCTACACTCCATACACCATACTGACAATGCAAAAACAGAATTGTCACAACTTTGTAAATGTATTAAAAATAAAAAAAACTGAAATAAGTATATTGCATAAGTATTCATACTCTTAACTAACTATTTAGCTGAAGCACCTTTACAGTCTCAAGTCTTTTTTGTTTGATGCGACAAGCTTTTCTCATCATCATTTGGCAATTATCTGCCATTCTTCACCTCACCTCTCCACCTCTCAAGCTCTGTCAGGTTGGATGAGGGCAGATGCACATTTTCAGGTTTCTCCAGAATCATTTGATTGGGTTCAATCCCAGGCTGTGGCTAGGCCACTCGAGGACATTCACAGAGTTGTCTAGAAGCCACACTTGCTGTGTGCTTAGGGTCATTGTCCTGATGGAAGGTGAACCTTCTGCCCAGTCTGAGGTTCTGAATGCTCTGGACTGGGTTTTCATTAAGGCTATCTCCAGGGGGCGAACTACGGGGGGGCTCGGCTCCCCTTAATAAGACATGGGCTCCCCTGAAAACATGATTTGTGAAATTTTGGGGGGTCTCAAAAAATATTGACAATGTGTTATTTTGACGTGCAATTTCAGTTTTGTGTAATGTGATCATCGTAGATTATTATGTGTAAAATTGCAAAAATATTCATTCATTCATAGATTTAAACCTAATTCACTTCAATAAAGATAACTATACATGCTGTTCTTGTCATGAGCATCAAGGTGTGGGGGCGCTGCGGTGCAAATTCCACTTGTTTGTCCTTCTGTAGGTTTCTCCTATCTCCACATATGATCATGGCGCTCAACTAGAGTGACCATCAGGTTCTTGGTCACCAGTATAACTAAGCCCCTTCTCCATCAGTTGCTCAGTTTGGCCAGGAGGCCAGCTCTAGGAAGAGTCCTGGTTGTTCCAAGCGTCTTCCATAATGGATAATGGAGGCTACATGCGTCTGTGAACCTTCAATGCAGCAGAATTTTTTTCTGAACTCGTCCCCAGATGTGTGGCTTGACACAAACCTGTTTCTGAGCTCTACAGGCAGTTCTTTTGACCTCAAGGCTTGGTTTTTGCTCTGATATGCATTCTCAGCTGTTAGACCTTTTATTAAGACGTGTGTGCCTTTCCAAATCATACCCATTCAATTGAATTAGCCAGAGTTGAACTTCACTCGTGTAGAAACATCTACAAGTAATATGAATGCTCCTGAGCTAAATTTCAACTGTCTCAGATAAGGGTATGAATACTTATGCAATGGAATCATTTAAGTTTTTTTTTTTGTAATAAATTTGCAAAGATGTTAAAAAACAGTTTTTTTGCTTTACCATTATGGTGCATGGAGTGTAGATTGATGTGGGAAAAAAGTCATTTAAAGCAGTTTAACATAAGGCAGCAACATAACAAAATGTGAAAAAAATGTAACTGTAAGTGCAAATAAATACAAAAATAAAAAATAAACATGGCTGGATGGATAAATAAAACCAACCAAAAAAATAAATAAAAATGGAAAGACTTCTGCATATTTTGATAAAAATAAAATAAATACAAATGAAAATAAATAAATAACATGGATGTATGGATAAACAAAAACAAACAAAACAGCAGAAGCATAATCAGTTGAAATACTGAGCACAATATAAAGGCGGTTTATTGTGAGTTCACTGCTGTCAGGACTCAGCTGCGAGTTTCTGCTCAGAAAGCCAATAAGCAGTGAAAAACAGAGGCGCAGTTTGATTTTCTTACCTTTGAGATGCTGTCGGAGCAGGAGAAGCCCGACTCAAAGTCGAGTGTGAAGCACAGGATCTTGCCTTGACTGCTGCACATGTAGCTCTTCGACTGCAGAGGAAGAACAACAGGAACATTTACACAGAAAGCTCACCAGCACATTGTTTGCTGTAAACCCTTTAAAAACAACAGACCGACATTCATATTTAAATCGCTGAACATTCAACACTCCTGATCTCACATGCTTTATCTTCCCGGGAACGGGACAGGTACGGCACGGTTGCCATGGAAACGGCCGACCGACACTGCGATTAGACAGAGAAACTATGTGTAACAATCCATTTTCTGAAGAAAAATCCATATCCAGTCCAGTAATCCTCCAGTACCATCTGATACTATGGTACTACCACAGTAGTATTTGTGCATGCATCTCTTTGTTATACATCCAACCTGACAGAACTGGGGAGGATCTGCAAGGAGGAATGGCAGAGGATCCCTAAATCCAGGTGTGAAAAACTTGTTGCCTCTTTCCCAAAAAGACTCATGGCTGTATTAGATCCAAAGGGTGCTTCTACTAAATACTGAGCAAAGGGTCTGAATACTTAGGACCATGTGATATTTCAGTTTTTCTTTTTTAATAAATCTGCAAAAATGTCAACAATTCTGTGTTTTTCTGTCAATATGGGGTGCTGTGTGTACATTAATGAGGAAAAAAATTTAACTTAAATGATTTTAGCAAATGGCTGCAATATAACAAAGAGTGAAAAATTTAAGGGGGTCTGAATACTTTCCGTACCCACTGTATATGTATGTTTTTCGGGCCCTAATAATAATAATAAAAATAATAATAATAATAATAAACCCTAATGTTAATTAACTCATTATATGTGTAAATTCAAACACATCTGCAAGCCATGCCTATTTTTTTAGATAAAAAAAATAATAATAATAATAAAAAAAAGTGTATATATCCCATGCAAACTAGCCTTAACCTGGAAATGTATGTCTTCTAGTCCCACAGATATTGGATTATGGATTATGGGCGGCAGGAGCGCTCACTGTGTTTGGTGTCTGTGGGCTTGTGGTGGCTGTTTTAATTCAGCGGGCCAAACCTCGCCCTCAGCCCGCTCCAGTGTGACATTAATAAAATGCCAAAAGAATGTGGCCTCTTGTGAAATCACTTGTATATCGATCAGATGAAGAATGGTTTATTTAAAAAAAAAAAAAAAAAAAATTGTATTGCTGAGATAGGCAAATAGGCAAGTGTTTGACATTTTTAATATATATATATATATATATATATATATATATATATATATATATATAGACAAATAAATGAAAAAACTAATTGAAAACATTTTTAATAGTTTAAAATAATGCAAATTTAATTACCAATTAATTGCTTTAATATTTACATTAAAACAATAAACAAATAAATAAATAAATGTAAAACATTAAAAAAATAAAGCAAAGCAAAACAAAACATAAAACCTTACATACATACATGCATGCATACATACAAATATAACCATTATGAGGATCATAAAATATTTTAAATATTTTATTTCAAACTAAATTACTGAAAGCAATTATTGTAAAATGCAGTACAATACTTACCAATACTGATTGTTATTGATAATTACAGAACACATTTATGCTGAAACTGACTGACAACTTATAAGCTTACTTACAACAACTTAAAACTAATAAATAATAATCCACACCCCAAATTAAAATGCAAAGGCAGTTAAAAGCATAACCGGATCTCAGAAACGCAGCCGACAGCTTTGCTTTTCCAAATCAAATCCTCAAAAGTGGAAACATTTGTAGTTAAATATGCATGAAACGCAACAGTAATGTTCGCAGTATTACAGTTAGTGGCTCTTGAAATCAATTAGGCACGAGGAGGAGAGCGAGTTTTCACAAACGGCCGCCGGTGACATTTGGATTCTGCAACATCATCAAGCAATCTGTCGAGCCAGAGAAGAAGCCATTAAAGTTGGTCAACACAGCTCTGACTAATATGGATGGAGCAGGGGAATAATTTGCAGCTGTCCTGCCAGCATTTCTCTGGGCTCCTTATTATCTTCTGCATTAAACTCTCCCAGTTTACAGAATTAGGGACCAATGTTACTTTAGAATTACTGAGATTCTAATTTTAATTTATATTTTGAATTTACAGTTTTCATTTACATTTTGAATCAATTTTCATATTTTCCATTTTAACTTTAGTTAAAGTTTTAGTAATTTTGTTGTGCATTTTTATAAATTTTTGTTGTTTTATATATAGAGTTGTTGATCATTTTTAATTTCAGTTTTAGTTATTTTAGTACCACTTATACCATACAATACAGAAAAATCATAACATTTAAACAATTAAATAATTTTAGTTAAGGTATTAGTAATTTTGTTGTTTTTGTCATTTTTTATAGTTTTTGTTTTTATATATATGTCTATATAGTTTTTATTCTTTTTTAGTACCATTTTAGTATCAAGTTTTAAAAAATAATAAAAAATTAAAGCAAAAAAATAAATAAAAATAAAATGTTCTCAAATTCAAACAATTTATTTTAGTTAAGGTTTTAGTCATTTTGTTGTTTTAATCATTTTCAGAAGTTTTTGTCAATATAGTTTCTTATTCTTTTTTCAGTTTTAGTTATTTTAGTACCATTTTAGTATCAAGTAAAAAAAATTAAACTGATTAATTTTCGAATTTATTTTGTTGTGTTTTTATAAGTTTTAGTAGTTTGTTTTTTATATGTCTATATAATTTTTATTTCAGTACCATTTTAGCATCAAGTTAAACAAATAACAATGATAATAATAAAAAAGTACTAAAATCATAAAATGTATATATAGTTTTTTATTACATTTTTATTTCAGCTTTATACCATTTTAGTATCAAGCAAAAAAAATTAAACTGATTAATTTTCGAATTTATTTTGTTGTGTTTTTATAAGTTTTAGTAGTTTGTTTTTTATATGTCTATATAATTTTTATTTCAGTACCATTTTAGCATCAAGTTAAACAAATAACAATGATAATAATAAAAAAGTACTAAAATCATAAAATGTATATATAGTTTTTTATTACATTTTTATTTCAGCTTTATTTTTTTATTATGGTACATCGAGTTAAACTAAATTAACATGAGAAATGTTGCCTTGGCAAGTAGCTGAAATGAAAAAAGTTTTATATTAT